ACAGTGAGTAGTCGGGTGTGGGATCGTCACGAGCTGGAGTCTGCTGTGGAGAGACAGAGAGACAAGCATTAGCGCAGGGAGTTATTAGAGGAATAAAGCTCGTCTTCTTCTGGCGTGGGCTTGGTTTATATGCCTCTCTGCTTGATGACGTCCAGCTGTGAGCGATCCTGTGCTGATGATGGTCCAGCTGGGTTGGATTAGCGACCAGGGCGACGTGGCATGTGTGTGCTCGTTACAATATATATATATATATATATATATATATATATATATATATATATATATATATATATATATATATATATATATACTTACCAGATGTAGCCGTCTTTACAAGATGTCACCATTTTCATGCTTTTCTTGCATCGTCTGCATTTAATTTTACCGTGGAGTATTCTTTTCTTTGCATCCACTTTATTAATTTTAGACGTGAGTTGTTTGTTTCACTAATATAAACTCTCCCAATGAGTGATCTTAAAAAAGTGCCCATCTACATAGCTGATTAAGCTATTATTTTTACTTAATTTACTTTAGATTTGCAAAAAAGTTGTTACCTAAACTGCTACAACACAAACTCGTTAATTTAGATGCAGCATAATGCTCTGAGTCTGTTGCAGGTCTGTTGGCGCGGAAAAGACAAATCCGGAAATGGGCGGGACTTGTTTAAGGGATAGGTTTTATTTTAAATGATTTTTTTTTCTGTGTGGTTTGTATTCATAATATTAATCTAATTATAAATCATAGTAAAGTTTATTTCTTTTATTATATTTATAACAGCTTTTACAGTCATTGGTCCCAACTGTTCAGGGTACGATGTCGATGTCACAGGGTACCTGTTACATTTCTAAGCGCTGTCATTACTTAGTCATTTCCGATGACTCAAAATAAACCTTTTTTAATATTTTTTTTTACGTTTTTTAAACGACTATTTTAATTTGTAAATGAGATGGCTAGATATAATTCGTTTTCATAAAATATAACAGTGTTTTTAATCTCTCCCATAAAACATAGAGACTCGCTAAGCGCCCTCTACAGGAGAACTATTTAAAAGGCGCTTACAAAAGGATTGCCGCCTAAATAAACTTCCTAAAAGAGCATATTGTAGGTTAGACACCCCAGTGAGACAATGTGTGTAAGAGTAAAATAAGAACTAGATTTTCTTTAAAATAAACGTTAAAGTTTATTATTAAGCCGTTTGGAGTCGTTTTAAGTCACGGAAATTATCTTCCGCATTTGAAAAATCGCCAGACCGGAAGTGACGTCGGATCAGGGAGTTCGCGCATATAAACTCTATGAATACAACTGATCGTAGTGCGCGTTTGGATGCCGAGATAAGATATTCTGAGAGACTCACACAAACGACAGACCACAGCCATACAATTATAAGCCTGTGGACAGACCAGCAGACAGAACAGCAGTCAGAGAAGTGTAATTTAACTCTATTGTGAGAAGAACCGAGCAGGTTTATGGTGAGGCCAGTGTTGGCTTACAGACAGATATGTAAGATAACAAAATCTTATCTGGCAACAGCAAAGCTAATATTGATCATCAATAAGTATTAATACTTACCAGTAACAGAAACTAATGAGCATTTAACACAGTTATGCCACATTGACCCTATTTTTAATAGTAGATAAGTGAATACAAAACACAAATAACAGATTGTCTGGAATAATGCAGAAACATGTAAACAAGGTACTGGAAAATCTTTTTTATTTTACAAAAGGTTTTCAGAGCTTCTGTATTAAAATAAAAACAACATGAAATATTAAAACAATTAAAACAAGTTTTTAAATATGTCTTTTTGTCATATTTTCATTGGGTATAAGATTATCTGTATCAGATCCCATTCAGGCAACAATCCATAAAAAGACAAGTATAGTTGTTACAGTATAAAATATTTACAAAGATTTGATCAACAGATCTGATCTGCATTTATGATTAAATAAACTTCAACCCTAATTCAAGTTCAGATTCTAAATGCAACTTCGTTCAAGTTTTATTTATATAGCACAAAATCATAAGCAGTGTTAATACCAGCATTTTTACTCTTTATATATGTATAAGTATCTGTGTGAGTGTGTGTATACTGTAAAATTACATACTTAACCAGCGTTCTCCAACCATTATAGGTCTAGATTACATATTTAAATGCTTTGTTTATTTTCCACAAATAAACTGGTAGCACATCATAATAATAATGTAGATTAAATTGCACGCATATCCACATTAATAATCTGTGACGAATGATAATGTAGATTAGAGTGCTTGCATATCTACACCATTATTACTGTAGTAAATTAGCTCAAGGTTATTCTTCCCGCGTCTTTTCCGCCGTTATAATGTTGCGAGTTATGATTTAGCTTTTAATGCTCGCGTACCTTCTGGAACATTATATAGCGGAATAGCTTAGCGGGAGGAAGATTCATTTGAACGGGGCTTCAAATGAATCAACTCTTTTGATCCGAACAACGAATCGTTCAGCGATGCTATCAACCTAAAATTTGAGCAGGGTAGCAAGATCAAAGTTCAAGACATTAGATTCATTAATATGCACAGGCACCTTTCTTTATACAAAATTAAACTTTATTGACTAATTAATCTAACAGAAACTAACACCTAACACAAACACACATTTATACAAGCATAAGGGAGAGTAACAAACGTGAAGAGGTTGAGAAGATGTAATGATGGGAAAACCTGAGTTTGTAAAAACAAACCAAGCAACCAAACGTAATCAAATTTAATATAACCCTTCTATTGTCTCTTTAGGGTTGAATTTTAGTTCACACCAGTTAAGATGTTGGGAGAAAGGTGAAACTTGCGGTCTGTTCGTGATGTCCGAGCTCCCGGTTTTGAGCACGTGGTTGATGTTGTTCTTTATTCCTCACGAGGTTGTAGTTTCAAGTTGAAGCGGCAAAGAGGATTCTGTGCGGTGCAATATCCGAGTGCGGTGCGATTAACCCTTTCTGTCTGGGTTTCTGCCTGCTTTCTTGGAGGTTTCTATACTTAGGTTTGTGAGGAAGTTGTATAGAGTTGAAGAAGGTTTCAAAACAGAGGCCTTTGGAGCAGAGAGGGGGGTTGCTTGGAGTTGGGAGAGAGAGAGGGGGAGCTCCCAGGCAGCGTGTTTGAAGAAAGGTCCCAAGAGAGTTTAAACAGAGAGATCCCAAGAGGGAGAGTTTAGCTTGGTCTTCAACTTTTATAAGGCGGATTCGGATCCACCCTCCATGGAAAGTTGACCAATTAGAAACTAACTTTCTTGAATAGTAATTTACAGCTCTTTGCCTGAGGCAGAAGAATTAGCATAAATTTTATGCAAATGGGGACAGAAATGTTAAAGTCTCTTAAAACGTTAATATGTTGTACTCATATTAAAACAAAATGTCAACGATCGATTTGTACAGCGAGTAAGCTTTTAAAAAAGTCCAAATTTGAACAGTATAAGAGGATGTTTAGCTTAGGTACAGTTAAAAATTATATGCAGGAGTATTAAAAACAAAATTATTAATACAAGAGAAAGGGAAACTTTGTTTTGGAAAGTTTGGTAACGCTTTCTTTTACAACCCGCAAAGTACCGCGTAAGTACAGTGAAATTACAGTGTACTTTTCTGTACGTACTGTGTAAGTATAATGAACGTATGTGTAGGTATAAGGGAACAAACCGTAATGCTTGGGTAATAAGGGAGTAACAACCAGATGTTCATCACGAAAATTACCGCGTAAGTATAGTGAAATAACGGTGTACTTTTCTGTACGTATAGTGTAAGTATAAATATTGTTTAATTAGGTATAAGGGAACAAACTGTAATGCTTGGGTAATAAGGGGGTAACAACCAGATATTCAGCATGAAAAGTACCGCGTAAGTACAGTGAAATAACGTTGTACTTTTCTTTAAATTGCAAAAGAACAAACCATAATGTATGCGTAATAGGGGGGTAACAATAAGATATTCATCACGCAAAGAACCGCGTAAATATATTACGTTTACAATGTACTTTTCTTCAAGTATTGTATACATATGAAGAATTATGCAAGGATGGTGACAACCTATTGCTATCTGCAAATGTACTGTACATGCACCTGCACGAGTACATACTCTTATTCAGTGCTTGGGTTTTATATAGGCTGTTTAATGAATAAAAAGTTTACAGCCTGTGAAATTATGAACCCTTATTGTATACTGTATGTATTTTAAATCTGCAATTCAATATAAAATATATTTCCATACACTACTTACCTTATGTTTACTCGTCGATCTCACCAAAGCCATCAATGTCTCCATAACTCACTATCAACAAATAACTTTGCATGATATAGGCCTATCGTCAGGGTTCAATGTAGATTAAAACAGGCTCGCATCTTTACTGCTGTTTGCACAGGGGGGCTAACTGTTGCATTTCAGTAAATGTATAGCTGATGCTTTATAGAAAAATTTAGTAATTTGGTCTTCAATCAATTAAACCTGCTGCTGTAGTTTACTCTGTTCTTAGTGTTCATGTATACACTAGTGTGTTAAAGTTCAGCTTCTTCCCTCTTTGTTCCCTGTAGTTGAAGGGTGAATACAATATTTGTTCCCTCCTTGTTCCCTGTACTTACAGGATAAATACCACATTTGAGGGTTGTAAATTAAAGTAAAGCATTGTTCCTCCCTTGTTCCCTGTACTTACAGGGTAAATACCACATTTAAGGGTTGTAAATTAAAGTGAAGCATTGTTCCTCCCTTGTTCCCTGTACTTACAGGGTAAATACAACATTTGTTCCCTCCTTGTTCCCTTTAGTTTTCACATACTAAATATTTACAGATACCATACATTACTATCAAACAAAAGTACTATGATCAGATCATATGGGAGATTGTGATCATTTATAGTGATAAAAATTAAAAAAAGAAATATATTGTGTGTTTGTATATTTATTTTACTGCCTTCAAGATTTTACATTGTAAACTAAAGGGAACAAGGAGGGAACAAATGTTGTATTAACACAGTTACTGTATGCCACATTGACCCTATTTTTAATAGTAGATAAGTGAATACAAAACACAAATAACACAGAACGTCTGGAATAATGCAGAAACATGTAAACAAGGTACTGGAAAATCTTTTTTATTTTACAAAAGGTTTTCAGAGCTTCTGTATTAAAATAAAAACAACATCAAATATTAAAACAATTAAAATAAGTTTTTAAATATGTCTTTTTGTCATTTTTTCATTGGGTATAAGATTATCTGTATCAGATCCCATTTAGGCAACAATCCATAAAAAAACAAGTATAGTTGTTACAGTATAAAATATTTACAAAGATTTGATCAACAGATCTGATCTGCATTTCTGATTAAATAAACTTCAACCCTAATTCAAGTTCAGATTCTAAATGCAACTCAAGTTCAAGTTTTATTTATATAGCACAAAATCAAAAGCAGTGTTAATACCAGCATTTTTACTCTTTATATATGTATAAGTATCTGTGTGAGTGTGTGTATACTGAAAGGAAAATATATCATCTGACCTATTTAAAAGTAAACCTAAAATTATTTTTCAGTAAGTTGGCCAATGTTTATGTGGGTACCACACCATCACGTCTTTAATGTGTATTAAATTGTAAATGCTGTGTAAAAAGATGCCGACAGCCTCATCCTTGTAAACCCGCTGGAAGGATCTAGAAAGGAGAGCAAATGTATTGCAAAGTTCTGCATTCTCGTCGAGCCTGTGATGAACTCCAGTAGTCCACCGTCAGACACGCAGTGAGGGCTGATGCATATATACTGCAGAAATAATGCAAAAGTTAAAATCATATTTATTAATAATATATATTTTAAAATTCACCATATGATTTTTAATATAACACAATACAGAAAACCCAACCACATTTGCAGACCCCTGGATAGTGAACTGCAAACCATCTCACATATACAGTAGACTGTACCCATTATAAGTTGAGCATTTGTGAATAAAAAGTGCCTTTCCTCATTGACAGGACAGAATATATTTACTCTCCCTCAAGTGGTTTCAAACCTTACTGACTTTCTTCTGTTGATCACAAACCAAGATATTTTGAAGAAAGCCTAATATCTGTAACCATTGACTTCTATAGTGGGAAAAACAGATATGGAAGTCAATGGTTACACGTTTCTAACATTTAAAAAAAAAACCTGCCTGCATTATATAGAAATATTGTAATAATTCTTTGCCCTTCTAGTTTTTGTTATCAAGTAATACCATGTAACGTACAAATAATTCACGATAGGGGTCATAATATTTTACCCGATGAACGAGGTGAATGTCTGAGGTAAAATTGGTTTTATATTCACACATTCTGACTTTCTCCCTAATAATATAATTTCAGAAGAGTATTATTTGCTAATCCCTAATATCATGTTAGCAGCCAATGACTATCAAAGTACAACATTGTTCACTGTCAGTTTAATAGTGCTAATGTTGTTTTTAAATCATATTTATGTGTGATTTCAGTTATTATAATAAAAGTCCGGGGCTTGGGGCGCCTTTCCGGGTTTTTTGGTGGAAGCTAGTCTCCCATCCTACTTTAAGCATAACGATCGCCCGCCCGCCGTGAAAACGACCGACCGCACGCCTCGACTAAACTGACCCACAAATTAGAAGATACGTACCTCACCTATTTAGGCTTGGTATCAATGTGTGACCGGATACCCTCTCGTCTTCCACGCCCTTGAATCGTTCCTTCGATCTGTCCCCACCTGCTGGCACAAATGGAAGTCCCTGCCATGTCCCTCTCCTCTATCTCGCTGTTTCTCTAGAAAACCAGCAGAGAGTACTAAGTTAGGAGAGAGTTTTGTGGACAGGTATGGCACTTACCTTTCATGCCTTTTTGTCATCCCTCGGCTGAACGAGGGGGGAAAGTCCCGGAAGCAATGTGAGAAGTTGTGGTCCGTTTCTCATTAAAGTCCCGCGAACCCCCTCGTCCCTCCAGATCAGCCGCCCCCGAGGGCGTCTATGGGTAGTGGCACGCCGGCGCCCCTTGGGCCGCCACCCCAGCGCCACCGACGCAACCGCAGCGGCGCCACGAGGACCGAAATCCCTGCCACACCCCGCAACCACTGCGGCGCACCGATGCCGCGCGAGCCGCAGGCCTCCGCAGCGCCGTCGCGACCACCGCCCCGACCGGGCTTCGGTTTTCTAAGAGGCTACCTCGGGAACGGGCATTTACCGCATTTTCGGGTCCGGCCTGGATGCAAGTGCAAGACTTGGATGTCCATCGTAAACGTTAAGGTTTTGAATACCTCTGCCATTTACCCGTGTGGTAATCTCCAGATGAGAATCTCAGCACTGGACAGAAGTCACACCTAGTGCACCATTACGGCGCTATTGCGGTGCTTTTTTTGTAAGTGAAACCGTAAGGTTTCACCCGGTTACCATGATGACCACACGAGAGGGGCTCTCCGGGGGCTGTTGTTTCCTCCCAAGTATTTCACCCCTATACCATCGACCTCAGGCTCGCAACAGCGGGGGATTCCCACTCCCCTGACATGCCCCGCCCGACGCCTCGATCCAGACTAGAACAGCCATGGATCGGAATGGGAGGGGGGGTCATCGGCAGTGTTTAGCACAGAAGAGCAGAATAATCTAAATAAAATAAATAGGACTGCCCTAAATTATTTTCATTTAAATAATTAATTTATATTACAAAACGAAAATACTGACTGATTCTTTTTAACAACCGGTATATAGGCAATTTTTTCCAATCATGTTTTTTTCTTCCGTCAAATAAATATCGCAGACTTCCTCAAAATGCCCGCTCCATGGAAAATATGCTGTTATTATTATAATAACAAAACCTTTTACATTTTTAATGGAAATCATTATTTTAAAGAATATGTCCTGATGGTTTCCTCTCTCCCTCGCGGTTCAAGTGCGCGTGCTATGTGATGAAAAGACAACACCAACACGCGCATATGTAGACTTTTTGTAAACAGTTTTGTTGTTTAAATATGCAATTGCATTAATGTGCATACATGCTTTATAAGCCGAAAATAGGGCGCACCTCACTGCCTTTATGTTGACAAGGAAAAAAGAAGAGAAGAAGCGCGGTCCTCTTATGAAACGACTGAATCAGCTGGGTATCGATTGTGCATAAGTGTTGCTGTCTGTGTTGTTACAATTGTAATATTTAATACTATTGTGATATTCAAGATTTGCACATTCATACAGCTCTGGATAACTTAAAACAGCGATTAGACCTTCAGAGCGGTGTTAATGCATCCTGAAGTAAAGCGAAACTGCTATAAACTCCAGCAAGATAGAGTGATTATATGCAGAGCCATATACCTTTATCTCTAAATAAAGTATAACTATAGAAACTGTGTTCATCTTAACTGAAAGCTTCGTCCTGTTTCCTGGCCTCACGCATCGCGCACCTGTCAGTCAGCACGTAACGTTAACTCCCAAAGGGTTAAACAGAAAGCGCAGAGCACGGTTACAGAAAAGTTTCCTCTGCAGAAGAGTCGGGGCATCTGGTGAACGCCCATCCCTTTCTGCGCAGCCACATTAACAACAATGCTTTGACAGCATTGGCAATGTTTCTGCCGTTGTCTGTTGTCAAGCGGGGTTAAGTTGGTTTTGTTTTTTATATTCCTGACACATTCAGACGGTCCCTTACTAAGAGCTCCGCGCGAGCTCTCCCGGCTTAACGCGTATTGCGAGGGCTTAAAAGGAGCATTGCTCGTTATGTCGAGCGGAAAAAAAAGTTTTTCCTCATGTTCTTCTTCAACTAGCTCAATTTTTGCAGGCAGCCGTGACGTTATTGGAAAGGTAGTCACGGGGAGTGTCGCGATTCTCCCTTATCACACCGCGACACAGAATCGTAGATCTGAGTGTCGCGATTTCGATTTTATATCGTGTATCGTTACAGCCCTATATAAGACTGTGTGAGAGAGAGCATGTACTTTTAAGAGTGTGAATGAGGGAGCATGTGTATGTGTCTGTGAGAGAATGTATGTGTGTTTGAAAGTGCATGTACAAGAGTGAGTGTGTGAGTGAGTGTGTGTGTGTGTGTGTGTGAGTGTGTGTGTGTGTGTGTGTGTGTGTGTACAATATGTGTATGAGTGAGAGCATGTATGTGTCTGGACATGAAAACAAAAATATTTATGCTTTTTAAAATAGTTTACAACAACTGACTACCATATAGGCTAATAAGTTGAAACAGATCTTACTATGTTGATGCGAGCTGATCACTTTCCATTAGGCCTACTTAAAACAGTAACAGTCAAATCACAAGAAACATTAGGTCAAAAACTTCATTCTTACCTTTTCTTTTTACGGTTGTTCCGTTTGGATCTTCACGGAGTACAAATTGGCTTTTCTGCCGTTAAAGAGCATATTGTAGGTTAAAAAACAGTTTAAAAAAGTAGAATTGTTTGTGAAAATGCTCTATAATACCATAAAATACCATATTAAAATGTTTTACGAAGTGCAAGGGCACAAATTTTAAAGAAATTGTGTCTGTTTTCCTACTTCCGCTTTTTTTTCTAACCACCCCAGTGATGTCAGAAGAGTGAGTTATCTGACAGACGCGCGCTGTTTACAGTGGGGCAGAGGAGCTAATAGCAGAACTGGTTGTTACTTTTGGCGCAATTTATCATCATCGTGGTATATTATTGCGTTTATGGAAACTGCACAAACTCCAGCCTGTCAACAGATCAAGTCCACAAGTTTCCTCTTGCTATTTTGGTTTGTGAAATGGGATGAATCCGATAGGAGTGATAGCTGACGCGAACGGCGAGAAACACTCCTGGATCAGTCGAAGATGCAGCTCGATGGCTGTACACGGTAAGACAACTCGTTTTTCGTTTATGTTTGTCAACTTTCAAGTCCGTAAGCATTATTATTTGAGTAATTTGAAGCAACGTGATGTGTTTACTTTGGAGTAGCCGATAGCACGGTTGCTAGCTTGTATTGTTAAGCATATTAAATATACTTTTTTGAAGCGTGTAAAAATGTACACATATGATAAGACGGCTAGTAGCATCAGTTTGCTAATATAATAAATGTCTTGTATAGTTACAGCGTTGTTGCTTTGTTTGCTTTGTGGTGTGTTTATTAGACTTTGGGAGACAGAGATGATGACCCGGAGCTGAAGGCTTTCTCTCCACTGGCCTCTCGCTCAACTGTGCTTCACTTTGGCTCACAAAGTAACCTCAACTAAGGTAAAGTGGACTTTATATTCGCACATTCGATTAGTGACAGCTTGTGTGACACACCCTCTGTATTGTTTACCATAGTACTTTTATTATAATGACTGAAATCACACGTAAATATGACTTAAAAACAACATTAGCACTATTAAACTGACAGTGAACAATGTTGTACTTTGATAGTCATTGGCTGCTAACATGATATTAGGGATTAGCAAATAATACTCTTCTGAAATTGTATTATTAGGGAGAAAGTCAGAATGTGTGAATATAAAACCAATTTTACCTCAGACATTCACCTCGTTCATCGGGTCAAATATTATGACCCCTATCGTGAATTATTTGTACGTTACATGGTATTATTTGATAACAAAAACTAGAAGGGCAAAGAATTACTACAATAATTCTATATAATGCAGGCAGGTAAACTCACACTATCTTTGACTTCCTTTTTTTTTAAATGTTGGAAACGTGTAACCATTGACCTCCATATCTGTTTTTCCCACTATAGAAGTCAATGGTTACAGATTTTTAGCTTTCTTCAAAATATCTTGGTTTGTGATCAACAGAAGAAAGTCAATAAGGTTTGAAACCACTTGAGGGAGAGTAAAAATATTCTGTCCTGTCAATGAGGAAAGCCACTTATGGTCCCACTTTATATTAAGTGTCGCTTATACCTGTGAACTTACATGGTAACTAGATGTGTAAGTAGTATGTAACTACAGTGTTTGTACACACTGGTACATAGTTATTACTTGTGTAATATTGGTGTAACTACACACATGTAACAGCCCACTGAATAGTATGTGTAAGTACAAATGTGTAACAGGACATTGGTAACAACACTTAGAAAGTACACATCTGTAACAAGAATTATGTAAGTGCAATGTGTAACAACAGTATGTACTTGCAGGTGTTTTCTCACTTCCACAACTGTTTGCATACCATGTACTTGTGAACATTGTATGACAGAAATAAAGCTTCATTAGAAGGTCTCTCCTTGTGATACCAGTGTAATTACAGGGTAAATCCACATAAACTGTCCACTCAATATAAAGTGTAAAATAGTCACAAAATACTCTGTAACTTGTAAAATATCCTATATGCAACACTTTATTAACAGTGTACTTACATGGTAACCCCAAAGAAACTGTCCACTCAATATAAAGTGTAAAATAGTCACAAAATACTCTGTAACTTGTAAAATATCCTATATGCAACACTTTATTAACAGTGTACTTACATGGTAACCCCAAAGAAACTGTCCACTCAATATAAAGTGTAAAATAGTCACAAATTACTCTTTAACTTGTAAAATATCCTCTGTGCAACACTTTATTAACAGTGTACTTACATGGTAACTCCACAGGAACTGTCCACTCAATATAAAGTGTAAAATAGTCACAAATTACTCTTTAACTTGTAAAATATCCTCTGTGCAACACTTTATTAACAGTGTACATGGTAACCCCAAAGAAACTGTCCACTCAATATAAAGTGTAAAATAGTCACAAATTACTCTTTAACTTGTAAAATATCCTCTGTGCAACACTTTATTAACAGTGTACTTACATGGTAACTCCACAGGAACTGTCCACTCAATATAAAGTGTAAAATAGTCACAAATTACTCTTTAACTTGTAAAATATCCTCTGTGCAACACTTTATTAACAGTGTACATGGTAACCCCAAAGAAACTGTCCACTCAATATAAAGTGTAAAATAGTCACAAAATACTCTGTAACTTGTAAAATATCCTATATGCAACACTTTATTAACAGTGTACTTACATGGTAACCCCAAAGAAACTGTCCACTCAATATAAAGTGTAAAATAGTCACAAAATACTCTGTAACTTGTAAAATATCCTATATGCAACACTTTATTAACAGTGTACTTACATGGTAACCCCAAAGAAACTGTCCACTCAATATAAAGTGTAAAATAGTCACAAAATACTCTGTAACTTGTAAAATATCCTATATGCAACACTTTATTAACAGTGTACTTACATGGTAACCCCACAGGAACTGTCCACTCAATATAAAGTGTAAAATAGTCACAAATTACTCTTTAACTTGTAAAATATCCTCTGTGCAACACTTTATTAACAGTGTACTTACATGGTAACTCCACAGGAACTGTCCACTCAATATAAAGTGTAAAATAGTCACAAATTACTCTTTAACTTGTAAAATATCCTCTGTGCAACACTTTATTAACAGTGTACTTACATGGTAACTCCACAGGAACTGTCCACTCAATATAAAGTGTAAAATAGTCACAAATTACTCTGTAACTTGTAAAAATATCCTCTGTGCTACACTTTATTAACAGTGTACTTACATAGAAACTCCACAGGAACTGTCCACTCAATATAAAGTGTAAAAAAAGTAAAATTACTCTTTAACTTGTAAAATATCTTCTATGCAACACTTTATTAAGTGTACTTACATGGAAACTCCACAGGAACTGTCCACTCAAGTGTAAATTTGTCACAAATTACTGATTCATCCACTGATGAATCCATGTACTTCTCACCTACATTCTGAAATGTTCCATGTTAATTCTATTGTAACTGTGAACCTAAAAGTAATAGTATTAAATTCCAAAGTATTAATCCACAAATGTTTTTCAATAAGTAGACTATAGAGGACTAAAAAAGAGAAAACATGCAGCAAAGGTAAACAATGTTTATTAACATTTTTATTCTCAACAGTGCAACACATAAAGAAAAACCTTAGAAATATGGCTGCAATATAGAACCTTACAGACACTATTAAATTAAAGAGATTAAACATAATGCCATAAACAAAAAAAATCTTAGAGTAAATTAAAACTTTTAGATAAATGTTGGAAGTAACATCATATCACATTAAACGTACAGCAATTCACATTGAAGGGATAGTTTACCCAAAAATGAAATTATTAATTACTCCCCCTGCTGTTATTCCAAACCTGAGTCCTTCATTCAGAAAATAAAATAAAAAAATCTACTTTTTTATTTTATTTGTAAAAATATTTTAGCTGATTATTTATTATTATTATTATCATTATATATTATTATATTATATATATTTTAGAATTATCTGACCCTCCATAGAAAGCCAGAGTTGCAAGGCATTTAAAGTCTAGAAAGATACAGTACCAATAACATCAAAAGAGTACATTTGTCTTCAGTGGTTCAATTGTAATGCTATGAAGCTATGATAATACTTTTGTGTGGACAAAAAACGCATTATTTTACATTTTATTCTCTTCAGTGTCATTTCAGGTCTCAGGGGTTGGAACGACAAATGGGGTAACAATTAATAACTACTGATGTGAATCTACAATTTAACTTTAAACAACATCTGCACATAAGAGATTTGTATATTTCTATCTGAACTTATACTTTATTGGCAGAAGTTTGCGCTCTTGTTTGGCGTTTTCAATGACAGATTTTAAGTCTGTTGTCAGCGACTGCAGGCACCTCTTGGCAAAGTCAAAAAGTTTCTCCTCGGTTCTGAATTTAGGGATGCTTCTGTAAAACTCAGCATCAACAAGCTGAATTTCAGCCACAACAGCTGTTAATGCGAGAGTATTACGGTCAACCCCAACTTTGGCACATGCTTTACTAATGCTCCCTTCTTTTTTATAGGCATTGAAAACTTTGTTGTACCGCCTTAGTACGTCATCAGGGGTTGTTGCTGTAGAAAGATAAAAGCTTAAGAAGAAATTAAAAAAAACAAAAAAAAAAAAAAAAAAAAAAAACAATGTGTGTCAAATACTTAAATGCACAAACCACACAAACCTGGCATGACCTATTGTGAATTAGTTTTTCCAGGGATGTCCCACATGGAACGAACATATATGAGGATGTATGCACAAACATGAAACCTATAAGCAGTATACAGTATATGCACATATATGATAGGCATGGGACGATAACCATTTTCAAGGTATGCCGCGGTTTGGAAAAGTCAAGGTTTTAAAACTGTACAACAGTTTTCAAGGGGGGACAACAGTATCTCTAGCAGAACATATTCCATTTTAAATTGTAAAAAACATGTTTTGAAACAAATAAAGACAAAATGAAGCAAAATTCATTAATTCATTTAGCCCGACACATTTACTGCTCCAACATATTTTAAATGTTTCACAAAATAAAATATACTGTGTTTAAAACAAAATGTACTGTTGTTTTTTACCCAGACATTTAAAAAGAAAATATTTTTGAGCAGTAATTACAATACTGTGATACCGTGATATTTTTATCCAATGTTATCATACAGTAAGAATCTTATACAGGCCCATGCCTAATATATGATAATAAATATGTGTATGTATATGCCATATATAGGCAAAACTGAGGTGCATATATGTGCATATACATGCCATATAGGTCTCCTGTAATGCTTCTTTATATCCACATATAAGCCTTACATGTACATACAAGATATACTAATAAAAAACAAAATGCAAAAAAATTATGTGCCAACACTTGAAATTTTATTCACATGTAATTGGCATGTTATGGAATTTAACTATGGCAAATAAGTGAGGAGATGAAAAGCTATGATGTCTACATGTTTTCCTGAAACATTTACAAGGCCAATTCTTTCTTGTATTAAGATAGTGAAAAAGAAAGAATAACAAAAGCTTTTGTGTTTTAAAATATTTTTTCTGTTCAGTTTTTTTGTCTTATTTTTTATTGTACTATTTGATTGTTTTTAAGTAAATAAAAAATGCAATTTATTATATTTACCTTGTCTAGCAGCTATAGGTTTTAATAATTTAACTAATATGTAGGTAAACATATAGGTAAACATATAAATGTACATATAAACATACATATAAGCACATATATGTGTACATACAGTATATGTCTACATATATGCATACATACAGTATGTGTACATATATGAATGTGCATATATGTACATATATGTACATATAATATAGGAAATGGCCAATTTTTTATGTCATATATATTAAAAACCTATATCAAAACTTATATGTTTATATAGGTTTTATTTATCTATCTTAAAACATATATGTTTATATAGGTTCTTTCCATGTGGGGTTCTATTGACTAAGTTCACATCAACAGAAAAATGGCATTCAAAAACAGGATATATGCTTACCACGTGTGCTGTGCTTGGTAGATTTTGACCTGCTGGCCCTCTTTGTCTTCTTATGACTCTTTCTCTTCTTCCGAGGAATATCACTATCAGGTGAATCTGAAGAGGAGGAAGAAGTCATGGACTCCTCATCAGTGTTACTGGTGCTGCATTCAGTGCTTGTGTCCAAGACTTTCTTTACTTTTTTTGCCCCTCTGTCTATGGAAAAAAAACAGATTTAGTTACATAAAAAGGCTAGCAGGCTTAGGCTAGCCACAGATGAGACTTTATACAAATCTTAACCAATTTTAAAATCATGGAATAAAACAGACATACTGTTTCTTACAGTCTTACAGCTAGAAATTAAGTCCAAAAAGAATATGGTTAATAAATTTGTCCAGTTTTTATAACATGTTTGTGGCTCCCAAATTTTAACAAAGCGCGAGGTTTAGAATAAAATGTGTTTTTGTTTTTTTTTTTGTTAAAGGATCTTCCGTCTTGATCAGAAGCAGTTAATAATAGGTCAAACCCCATTCAGGGGTTCAAATCAAACTTAAAATCAGCAACTGTAGTATGTGGCCAGCCTTAAAAATGTAATCTATTAATACTACTCAGCAGTTCAGGATTGATGTGAAAGTTTAAAAAGTAAAAAAAAATCTACTTGCTCAGTAGATATTAATTTCAAATCAAACACGTTAATACAACAAAACAGGTTTCTTACTTGACAATTTTAGGACAGTTTGGCGGAGAAAATCTCGTTCCTGTTTAAGTGTTTGTATTGTCTGGGCCATGAGCATCAGCTTGTCTTTTTCCACCATAGAGGAAGACCCATCATCTTGTCCTTTAAAAACAAACAATGTAGCAAAATACAGTTATGGTACATACATCTGGTACATACATCTGGTACATAATGGTACATACAAGTGCCTGCTAAATAACTAAAAATTTACCTTGTGTAATATGGAGTATATAAAAGTGGCATTAGTGCAAGATCAAGTATTTATATTTCCATAAAAGTACAATAGAACAAGACTGGTATTGGCTGTTTTTTTTTTTTTTTTTTTGTTAAAGCTAAAACATTTCAGCAAACAGTTGTGGTAGATGTGGTTCATTTTCAAATACGTTGGCTTGGTCTATCTTATACCATGATTGCACATTCAAAGTAATTTCTTTCTAAGTAAATACAAACTCACCTGGTTCTGGAGTTATGGTTTCCACCGCAACAACAGAAAGGTCATTGTCATCGTCTTTATCATGGTGTACTTTATGAATTTTTTGGGATGATTCAGGTGGTTCTGTAAAAACAAAAAAAGAAAATGGTTGCTGCTCTTGTCTGTCAAACTACCGCAACATTACTGGAGCAACAACTTCTAAAACACTTCATGTAAAATGGTTTAACTTCGCCAAGAGTATGATCAGTTGGTTATCAATTTTTTTCTCAAACATTTTACCCACTTTTATTTTTTCCTGTAGGACCAATATAGAAAAAGCTTGATGTGGCTTAAATAAACAAATAAAAACATACATGTGTATTTTTAAACAAATTTAAATGTGCATTGTGTCCTAATATGATAAAAAAATTATTCAATCCTACATTAATTTTCTTGTTGCATTTATAAGGGTTAAAATTAAATTTAAATAGACTAGTGGTCAAATGTGCTGATCACTGATTTCACCATTAAAAATACAATCAGCAAATGTGTTTTTTTTTTTTTTTTTTGCATATTCAGCACTATTTGTATATGGTTTTACAAATAGCATGGTTAGTTATTAGTGTATAAAAAGTGTGTACAATAAACTATAATTTAAAGTAGTTTAAGTATAGTAACATTAATTTTTTTATTTAGTAAAGGCTTGCTTACGGTTAAGCATATTGCACATAAAAGTGAACTTATATCTAACCTTTGTTAGTCAGTGTAGATGAGTTAATGCATGAGACTACTAATATTAACGTTAAATCATTACAAATCATCGAACTGTAGATTAAATTACCTTCACTCAAGAGGTCAGCTTCAGCTTCGCTGCGTTGGGGGCAGTTCCTCGTCAAAGAAATCGTCTTTTTTCGTGGCATACTGAAGAAAAATTCGCTAAAGAGTTAGGGCTAACAATTTGCAAAAAGACGCATCATGAGCGAGATAACCGTCTGCTCTGATAGGGAAGTTGGCGGTTCATTCAGTAGTCCAATCAAAACTTACGTAACGTGACGTGACAACTGTGACGTTTCGTTGTGAACAGCCAGTTATCGACAAGGCGCCAAATTTTCAAATAGGAAAGCAAGGAAAGCGGCTTTCAGTTATACATTAGCTGTATCTGTTATAGCGCTATGCATACAGGGAAATTAAACAAGATTATACGGCTTTGCAGCGGTGGAAAACATAGAAAATTAGTGATCAAATGGCTACAGAGGAAAGGCTTGCTTTGTAAAGCACCTCATTGTCGCCAGTGTGGAAAAAAGATGAGTATTAAAGCCCACAGTGGACGTGATGGTTACATATGGTAAGTAACGTCAAGCACAAAGCTTGTTTAACTCGCTGTTTTGATTGCTAATTTTAACATAATTTAAGTAAGTTTCCTTGAATACTGTGTTATAGATTATCATAATTTTTTCACTTTTATTTTAGGACATGCCGAAGAAACAAGCATCGCAGAATTACACTCTCCATTCGCAAAGGATCACTGTTTCATAACTCCAGAATACCTTTGGTAAAGTGGATGGAATACATATATAGGTAATCTAATAATTATAAACTTAATGTCATTGCGGTCGATCGCTAGCCTCGTTAGGTCATTTTCATGTGTAATATAAATGTAAGATTATCAAGAAATATAGTTTAATACTATTTGCCCAGCCACTTCAACAACACACTCCTTATTGTTTATGAATAGAGATTGTATAGGTGAAGAATCTGTGTTTTATCTGAAAAGCTAGCATTGTAAATATATATATTATATATATATATAAAATTAACCAAAACTATTTTCTTATAAGATTTTCACAGGGTCTACATTTAAGACAAATTGACTTGATGGATGATGGTGTTGCCAAAACTTCAACAACATTGTCCAGAATAAACAAATTGCTCAGAAAGGTAACTTAATAATAACATATGCACACATATACAATGCAGGCTTTTTCACTCTTACATTTAACAGCACCTTACTCAACCAATTCAATTCAATTAGGTTTATTAGTACAAATTTCCTATGGCTATTTTTTACAGGTTTGCATCAAGGCATTGAGTAATTTGAAAAGAAGAACAGGCCTTAGAGTTGGTGGAAAGTCAAGACAGAAGTTTGTGGCCATAGATGAGTCCAAGTTTGCTCACAAGAGAAAGGTATGTTTGATGTGAAAATGTTTATACTGTATACTTAGTAATTTTTACTATGTTGAAATACTAAAGTTCATTAACCTGCATTCAGTAATACTTCCAGAGTTAACATCACATCAAAATAGCACATGTAATCAAAAGCAGGGATATGATTTTTATGTATGCAAATTCCTGTATGTTCTGACGTCAATGGGGTGACCCTTTCAGTTTTAATGTAAATTTCTTCATTCAGGACATCATGTGATTGTACCCAATAATTACAGATTTCACTATTTTCCTGTGTCTCCGGGAAGTAATGTCTATAATGATATTTGTGTAGTCCTTCAATCTACTCATATGAGGAAGCTGATGTCAATGTGAAAAACAATGACAAAGATTTGAATGTGTTCATGTGAATTTTATGTTTTCACTTTTGAGTGTGCACCATGTTTTATTACCCTCTGCAAATCATCTGTTCTTACAGTCTTTATTTAATATTTAATAGACAATAACCTGAAATGTATACCTAAATATTAATTTCAAAACGTTATATTATTATACCTAACTCAAGAGTTACACATTATACATAATATTTTAAGAAATTTAAACAATTTCATTTTGAAATTTAAACAAATTTTGGACTGACTAGTAATTTATTTATCAGGTTGAAATTAAAGGTGTACTAAATAAATGCAGACACTTGCATTTTTTAAATTCTATTTTATGCATTGATGAAGACACAATGGCACCACACAAGTTAGTGGCCATCTAGCAGCAGCAGTGTGCCGTTCTGTCCTCAGACTAAAGAACTAGGTATAGACCAATTGGTTTAAAGATTATTCAGATGATTATTAAACTGCTTTTTAAGTTAATTGAGATAGATGCATGGTGAAAAATAACTATGGTCAGTCATTGGGAGATTTTACTGCTCTTACAATTTCCGTTGTTTCTTGTGTTCATTACTTTTCAGTTTAATCGTGGCCGCTTTTGTACTACTTGGCAGAGAAGAAAAGGATGGGTTTTTGGGATGATGGAGGTTAAAGGAGATCACCGCCTACCAGTCTTAAAGATGGTAAAGGACCGTTCCAGGACCACACTGGTGCCCATCATCACAAGGCACATCAGAAGGGGGTCAACTGTTTACAGTGACAATTGGAGGGCATATCTGAATGCATTACAACCTTTACGATACAGACACCTAACTGTTAATCACAGTGAAAATTTTGTTGATCCCCAAACTGGCTGTCACACACAACATATTGAAAGGGCTTGGCTTGCCATCAAGGCACAGGTATCAAGATTAAGGGGTAACAAGACTACAAAACTATTGAGAGAACATTTGAAATTCATTCAGTGGCACTACTGGCTGGGAAGGCGAAATAGTAAAGGTGCCTTAGCACAGCTTATCCATGACATTAGAAAAGCATACCGGGTTCATTGAAAATATATATGCCATTTTTTTCTCTTTTATTTGCTGTTTATATTGTGACATTTCTTCAGATTCTAAAATTTCCTGATAATACAAACAATTAACTTGTTTTAATACATTCATAGTTTACTCAAAAAAATATTTGTGTAAAATACTATGTTGCAGAGTAAAAAGTCAAATACAAATGTGACAGTTTTGATTTAATAGATCCTGGGATATTATTTACAGCACTGATTGTTTTCTTTATTGTTATTTAAAATTTTTCTTTTGTGATTGCTGGCACTCTGTTGAACAATCTGACTTTACAGTCACAGTGTAAATTACAATATTCTGTTACTTTTCTAGAACATTGAAACTGCAATGCAATAAAGTTACACTACATATTAAATATACTATTCCTTTTGATTCACCATGCATTTTCCTTTGCTACAGTTATATGAGGACATGAAAGGACAGTTCATGAGAAGTTACCATGTCAGTACATTGTTATGTGTTCAATTTGGATTTATATTACACAGTTTGTGACCATTTTGCTAGTACACTTTAAAAAAAAGTTACAATTTATTTACATACAGTATGTACACATTGGGTGGACGGTTTCTGAGGAGTTTCTATGTAGGTACACTGTTGTTAAGCAGTTGCATGGAGGATTATGTTTAATATATTACATAGTAATTTGTGACAAATTTACACTTTATATTGAGTGGACAGTTCCTGTGGAGTTACCATGTAAGTACACTGTTAATAAAGTGTTGCATATAGGATATTTTACAAGTTAAAGAGTAATTTGTGACTATTTTACACTTTATATTGAGTGGACAGTTCCTGTGGAGTTACCATGTAAGTACACTGTTAATAAGTGTTGCATAGAAGATATTTTACAAGTTACAGAGTATTTTGTGACTATTTTACACTTTATATTGAGTGAACAGTTCCTGTGGGGTTACCATGTAAGTACACTGTTAATAAAGTGTTGCATATAGGATATTTTACAAGTTACAGAGTATTTTGTGACTATTTTACACTTTATATTGAGTGGACAGTTCCTGTGGAGTTACCATGTAAGTACACTGTTAATAAAGTGTTGCACAGAGGATATTTTACAAGTTAAAGAGTAATTTGTGACTATTTTACACTTTATATTGAGTGGACAGTTTATGTGGATTTACCCTGTAATTACACTGGTATCACAAGGAGAGACCTTCTAATGAAGCTTTATTTCTGTCATACAATGTTCACAAGTACATGGTATGCAAACAGTTGTGGAAGTAAGAAAACACCTGCAAGTACATACTGTTGTTACACATTGCACTTACATAATTCTTGTTACAGATGTGTACTTTCTTAGTGTTGTTACCAATGTCCTGTTACACATTTGTACTTACACATACTATTCAGTGGGCTGTTACATGTGTGTAGTTACACCAATATTACACAAGTAATTACTATGTACCAGTGTGTACAAACACTGTAGTTACATACTACTTACACATCTAGTTACCATGTAAGTTCACAGGTATAAGCGACACTTAATATAAAGTGGGACCCCACTTTTTATTCACATATGAGGAATATTCATCCTGTAGAAGAAAAACAAATAACATTCAAAAATTGAAGTTTGTTCTTTCATGCTCAACTTCTAATGGGTACAGGCTACTGTATATGTGAGATGGTTTGCATTTCACTATCCAGGGGTCTGCAAATGTGGTTGGGTTTTCTGTATTGTGTTATATTAAAAAGCATATGGTGAATTTTAAAAT